ATTCTTTTAAAAATATCCCATTTTACATTTCACACAGCAGGAGCTTCTTATTAAGAAGAACTATGAGAATTTGAGAATGTGGGCTTTGATAGCCCCTGCACAACTCTTTAAAAATGTGTTATTATTTATTACTTTCAAGCATCAGTGGTAAACCTCACAATTTAAAAAAACACAAACGTTTTTGCAGACGTACACCTTTCTGTGCTGTTAGAAAGCAGGTTACATACTTTGAGAGGACAGTAGCTCAGGGTGACTTGTTTCTTAAGGCTTATCACGCTCGTCTCTGACAGTTGTGTTTTGTTTAGCTAATTCTCATGAAGCAGGGATCTGAAGATAAGCATCAAAGATATGCTACAGCGATGGTGATAATTCCACATACCAAATTTTATAATAATGTCTGTAAAGGAGCAGGTACCCTTTACAGGGACCTTCCTGGGACAGACACCCCCCTCCCCACCCCATGTCCTCTGCCTGCCTCTTGTTTGTAAAAAGGCTCTAGTCTTCTAGATCTTCCCTGAGTTCCAAAGAGCAGATTCAAACAGCTACTAACTAGGGAAGTGAGGGAATGTACAAACAAAGGAAGAACAAGCCCAACTTAATTTTTTTCATGATTGTTATCTTAAACCAATGCCTTGATTTATGACCCCAAACTGTCCTCCTGTGGGTTCAATCAGCTGGCCCCAAGTGGGCCTGAACTTGATGACACACCAGGATCAATTAAAAACTGAAACTCCTAAACCATCACGAAGGCTCTGAGTACATAATACAATGTTGCAACCGTTGCTTTTGCTCTCTCCTAGAAAAAGTTACAAAAGACAGACTATTCCATAGCAGTGGAATGAAGGGTTGACAGTAGGGAATTATAGCCATGGCATCAGCTCCTGAATAAAGCAACTTTTCCGTTTTCACCAACACTTGTCTCTCAAGTATTGGGCTTTCCAGCAGTGAGCAGTCAAACTTGGGTTCAGTACCAGCCTCATCTAGTTACATGTCCTTTCAGAGAGCAGGTGACACTAACCAGCTTGAGTGGTCGTTAGTTTCGTTATTTGTTAGTAAGAAAGGGGACTCCAGGAAGGTTATGTGACTTTCTTGCTAGCTCCCAGTGACTCAGTAACAAGAGAGCCGTGTTCCTAAGGAAGTTTGTGGTCTCCCTGTGAAGTTCAGTAGTCCAAGCAGAGCAATACATCCTCCCAGTGGTTCTGCTGGGTTCTGTGACTGTGAAAGTGTTACTTCTGATTTACCAGTGGGCGTTGTTATACATTTAGTTTTAGTTATCATCACAATATGCTCTGGGTCTTTTATGCGGAGCTTTAAGCCTTAAAACAAAACACCAAACCAAAACAAAGAATCTTGTTGTCCAAGCATGTGTGTCTCTCTCTCTTCCTTTTTCTGTTTTAGAAAGGTACTTTATGGTAAAAACACAAACTAATGTGAACGGTAACTGAAAAAGCATTGCTTCCTTCTAGAAAACCACTAGGATTTGCATAAACCACTTGACTGTCTGGTAAATGATTATCTGCTTTGTCAGTCTCTGGGGACTTTTAACATGAGGTTATTTATATTTTTATAGATAAGGAAAGTTCTAAATTTGAAGGTGGGTATCTGTTAAACTCTCTAAACAATGATAGCTTGTAAAACTGGATTTTCCAAAAGTCTTTAAAAAGTCAGTAAAAACATAACCTCTCCTGTATTCTGGTAACCACAGGAATAAAGTTAAAGGCATTGAAAGATTTTGAATTTGTGCTGTGTACAGCCTGTTGATTGTTTGCCTTTTAGTAAAACTGAGATGTGTTAAGGCTAAATACACCAATTTGAGAATTGCAAAGGAAGTTTAAAGGGATTTCTATTATCACCCTTGAAGCATCCACGAGAAGGCATTTACAGCAATATAAAATACAACCTGGCTGCTTCTGTTTGATATTTTGCCTGTAGAATTAGATTACCTGAGAAGCCTTGAGAAAGATATTTGATATAATACAGTGTCAGAATCTTGCTGGGATGCACTTCTGGAAGAGCAGAAGTTTTTGTAATTAAGTACACGTCCTACTTATAGTAAAATAATAGCCACCTTTGAATTTATCATTATTTATCATTTAGCAACTGCAAGCATAATATATTAAACTATGGGTTGCTGAAGCCTGGCAGTATTATAGGTAAATTTGCATACACTCTAACTGGTGCTTTTTCCTATATCTAATTTTCAGGTACAAATAGCTTGAAACAGTTTCTTTCACTTTGGGTTGGCACATAGCTACACTTTTTATTTTCACTTGGACTTCTACAATACCATGTTTTATCTAGGGTTGTAATGCATCACGAATTCTCTTGATTGATCTTTGGGTAATATTAGTACCTTCAGAGTCAAAGGGGTCACAGTCAAAACACGTCTTCATGTAGACAAAGGACAGAATACTAAGACTGATCCATTATCATCATCATCACGGCTAACATTTCTTGAGGCCCCATGTATATTCATCGAATCCTCATAGCAATCTTAGGAGGTTCTTGTAGCTTCGCAATTCCAGTTTAAAACCCTTGGGGTCAGATGTCTTTCAGAATTCAGAAGTTTTTGGAGTTTAGAAAGGTAATCAGGGCAAATGCCACATATTAAAGAAAATCTCCAGTGGGATCAGGAAAGCGCCTCAAAAGCAAGCCCAGGGCTTCCCTGGTGGTGCAGTGGTTGAGAGTCCACCTGCCGATGCAGGGGACGCGGGTTCGTGCCCTGGTCCGGGAGGATCCCACATGCCGTGGTGCGGCTGGGCCCGTGAGCCATGGCCGCTGGGCCTGCGCGTCCGGAGCCTGTGCTCCGCAACGGGAGAGGCCACAGCAGTGAGAGGCCCGTGTATCGCAAAAAAAAAAAAAAAAAAAAAAGCAAGCCCATTAGTATTTTTTCAGGGAAGCATATGAATAGTTATACTATTTAAACAGAATAAATAAAAGTCATAAACACTTTCATATTAATTCAGGTCAGGTCTTGCCACTAGGTGACTTTGGGTATCATCTTATGAACACATTTTTGTTTTATTATTTTTTTTCTGAGCTTTTTGGTAAATACCAAATAAAGTTAATAACAGACACCAGATTTTCACTCTTGTTTTGGAAAAATAGAAGAACCATGGTGTCTATACAGTACCAGAGAACCCCTCCTTTTTATTATCCCCCATGAATTACACTGGGTGCTTAGGCTGTCATTATTCTTCTGCTTTGTGTAGATAGTCATTTTTTCTCAAAGCTGTGTAAGAATCATATTTCACACAGAATGAATGGAATTTAACAAGATGAAATATCACAACTAAAAACAAAGTTCAAACTCCGCAGGGATTGAGGCATTGTGTCTTAGCTGACAAGCATTTAGTTAGCAAAGCAGTCAGTGAGCTGACAATGTGAAGGGGCCACTAGCATGTGAACGTGATCTTCAGGTATAAAGCAGGAGTGTAACATTTGGAACGTGAGAGTTAGTCAAATCTCAGTGTCTCCAGACCATACCTGGAGTCTTGTCTTCATTTCTGGATGGCATATTTTAAAGGGATGCAGGCAGTGTGAAATCTTTTCCAGGTAGATTGATCAAAAGGGTGAAAGGACCCAAAGCCATGTCATACACGGTACAGATATAGTGATTGAGCAGGTTTAGTTGAGTCTTTTGCCAGCTTCTAGCAATATCTGACTATAGTACCTGCTCAAATGCGTAATTTTAGCTTAAGACTGATGGACTGCCAGCTCTATGCCACCTCCTGAGCTATGAAAAGACATGGACCCTGCCTTTCACAGGCTCTAAGTCTAATAGAGGACACAGAAATGTACACAACTATTTACAATACAATGTGATAAGTGGAACAGTAGACACAGTATAGAGAGGCAGCACAGAAATTATGATTTGCTCTTCCTGTGATGATGGGAGATGGGAAGCTAAAGCTTTCAAAGAGAAACTGAATTCTGAACTGGGTTTTTTTTTTTTTTTTTTTTTTTTTTTTTGCGATATGTGGGCCTCTCACTGTCGTGGCCTTTCCCGTTGCCGGACGCGCAAGCTCAGCGGCCATGGCTCACGGGCCCAGCCGCTCCGCGGCATGTGGGATCCTCCCAGACCGGGGCACGAACCCGTATCCCCTGCATCGGCAGGCGGACTCTCAACCACTGTGCCACCAGGGAGGCCCTGAACTGGGTTTTGAAAAAGAAATTAAGTGAATGAAATGAGAAGATTGAGAAAGGACAGTATAGGCTTGTTCAAATATTTGAAAGGATATCACGGATAAAAAGGATTGAAATTATTCAGTCCCATCCAGGGACTCAGGACCAGTTGGGGTAGGGTACAGGGAGACAGATTTAGGCTCAGTCTTAGAAGGAGGCTTTAATAGAGCTGTCCAAAGGCTTTGGAGCATTCAGAGTTTCCAGTGTCTGGATGTGTTAAAGCACAGACAAGTCAGCTGTTCGTCAGCAATAGTACAATAGTATGGAGGGGTATGTGTGTGTCATGCAATGGTTAGAGAAACATAATGAAGTACTTAAGGGCATGGGTTCTATGATCACACTTCTAGAACTGACACTTCTGCCTGCTGGCTCTGTGATCTGAGCTAGAATTGTTATGAAGTTAACATAAAAGTGCTCGGAACAGCACCTCTTACCTAATGCGTGCTCAAAAGGAACTAATAAATATTAGCCACTATTGTTGTCATTGGAAGGGTGGTTGTTTGACATATTCTTTGAAGTTCACCTTACCTTGAAAGATTTTGGGTTTCTAATTGTGTAACTGTGATGATATTCCTGTGAATTAAGAAGATGGAAATGAGGAACTGAAGCAAAAATAAAATTGTGATAGTTAACAGTTTAGCAGTTGAGATAGGAATAAAACTCTGGTCTCTTGAACTAGCGTTTACTGCTCTACTAACTATCTTGATTTCTCCTTTTAGGGCCTTGGAATTCTTCTACCTACACATCTGGAGTATTCTTAGGAGAGGCTGGTACTGCACAGCTCTCTGTAGCTCATGTTTTTCTTTGTCTTACAGAGAAAGTGGCTTCATGAATAGGAATGCCTGCCAGATACCGGAATTGGAGGTGATGGATGAAGATCGGCATATTGAAGAAGTCTTGGATAAGTTTGTTAATTGTCACGAGCAAACATATGAAGAATTTCTGAGCACTTTCACTCATCTTTCAAAAGGTAAAATGGAGAAAGTAAACTTTCTGTAGCAGTTGAGACGATGAATTTTATTATAGTTTTATGTCTTTGCTGTCTTTTTCAGAAAGACTATTGAATGAGCCTTCATTCATTCTATCTCTTTGATCAGGTTATTCTCCTCAGGGCGTTTGCAACTGATGCATGTAGATACTAACATTTTTATCCAATCAAGAGTTGTATTATGGAGTCAGAGCCATTGAATTTGAGAACTAAAGAGGACTTGAGAAATCATTTAGTAATAATCCCTTCGTTTTAGTTTTGAAGAAACACAAGGGCAAAAAAGTGGAGGTTTTTAAAAGCATATTGAAAACATTGAAGAAATCTAGCATACTGTAGGGTGTGGAGTTACACTGCACACTTTTGGATTCTGCCATAGCCACTTTCTGCCTTGGGGGGAGGTCACTGAGTAAAGAGGGGATAATAATAGTACCTTAAAGGTTGATGAAGGTTATTTGAGATAATCCATGTAAAACTGTTAGCATAGTGGCTAGCACATACATGCTTAATGAAGGCTAGGTATAGTATTATTGTTGTTGTTGTTGTGATGATGATGATGCTATGTTTTCTGTAGAGTGGAAACAACCTTTTAGACCGGAGTGATAACTAAAACCCTAAAGGCCAAACCCATGCTGTGTGTTTCTCGTGATGTGTTTGGTTGCCTCATGCAGTATTGTTGTTTTATTAAGCCAACAGTTATAAGTTGGAAATTTTACATAAAGAACTTGATTTGCTTTTTTTTTCTGATTAAGTGAGAAGGTCGGTTACCTCTTATTTCCCTGATGGCAATATCAGCTGGAGTTCAGGAGCCCTTGCCATGTGACCTCCCTCATTTGACACACTCTCTGGCTCTCACACACTCGAAAAACCTGTGTATACCCTGCATGCTTCCTTCACTTAAGTGGCTCCTGTAGGCATTGAGTTCTTGCTCTCAACCTTGGTCCTCTCTGGGTCATGGGATCCACATTCGGGAGACTGTTGACTCAGCTCTTAAGCGGAGTCCAATGTGCATCTGGTCATGACAGTCTCAGGATACCTGACTTCATGATTTGAAGTCATAGTTCATGTGTCCTTAAGAAATGTAAAAGAAGGGTAGTTATAATGAAGACAAGGAAAAGTGATTCCAACCTGATTCTTTTATTGTGCCAGGTAGTGGGAATATCATTATCTATTTTGTTTACACTTAAGGGAAACAGAAAATTTAGGAAATTCTTGTTAACTTGGGCTGTGAATGATCTATTTTGGCATGATATGTGGATCAAATTAATCTTGATAATGGCCAAATCATCTTTTGGTCTATGCACATGGATTTAGGAAGATGCTTGCTTTCTCTGAGCCTAATGATTTAGTTCTATGTTTTCCAGAGCAAAACATGGCAGTATGAATGGCTGGGGTAGGGTGTGGAAGCAAGGGTAAAACTGGCAGAATTAATGCATTTTGGTATGCCAGTGACATTTTGACAATCCAGATTATTTCGGAAATTTATTTGTAAGGCTGACTTTATTTTTGTACTCTGATCAGACTAAGAACTTCTTGCGAGGACTTGGATATTCTAAGGAGGTTATGCTGTTTTTGTTTTTGGGATAAGGGGTCTATTCTTTTTTCAAATTTCTGTATGCTCATTCCATGCTGAGAGAAACTGTTGCAGATGTGGTGACTTCATTTTGAGTTCAGTTTCAGGCCCCAAACTGAGCTGAAATAAATGATGACACAAGTCATATAAACTGCATCTCCAAGCACACTAGTTTTTTCCCTTTCAAAATGTCCCTAGGCTCCAGTTCACATCATAAACTAATGACCTGAAAAAATTCTGCCTACAGCAAAGATTTGTGAGTGGAAAAATATGTCTTAAATCAGTAAGTGTCCTTTTTTCCCCCAGAAACATTTAAATACCTTCTGAAAAGCCAAATAGTACTTAGGGTCAAGCCTAAGAGTTGAATGATAGCCAGCAGAATTGATCAGTCAGTGTGTTCTGTCTGTTAGTTCTGTTTGACGGAAGACATGAAAGCTGTTTCTTCAAAGTTTTCTCCTTCTTTCCAGCCCTTCATTTGTCTTAGTGTATTTGGTTGTTTTGCTGATATGAAGTGGAATCTTTTCTGTGTTAAACTGGCTATCACCACATATACTTATGTACATTTCTTTAGTAAGTTTAGTATCTCAAGTACATTACCATTTCCACTGATTGTTCTATTTATTTTTATAATAGTTATATGCCAGAATGTTTATGGGATTCATTTTCTTTCCAAGAGTGTTAAAGGGGTCAGTAATCCTATTAAAAATATTTCCCTGGAAAAAATTAAACTATAGCCTTATTGAAGAAATTCACATTACTGCTTCAAATGCTTGGAAAACAGTTGGAAACTGTTAATACTGTACCATAACTGTAACTGTAGTACATTTATGTTGACCATGTTTTGCAGTTGTTGTTTTTTTTCTTTTTTCCGGTACGCGGGCCTCTAACTGTTGTGGCCTCTCCCGTTGTGGAGCACAGGCTCCAGACGCGCAGGCTCAGCGGCTATGGCTCACGGGCCCAGCCGCTCCTTGGCATATGGGATCTTCCCTGACTGGGGCACGAACCCGTGTCCCCTGCATCGGCAGGCGGACTCTCAACCACTGTGCCACCAGGGAAGCCCTTGCAGTTTTTTTAAAAAGCAGCTCTGGTTTTAATAATCACAGTGCATAGTTGATGATAACTCCAGTGTTTTGTCAGAATGTTTAAAGAGACATATTACTTATTAGTTTTAAGCAGACATTTATAATTGAATTCTCAATTAGTGTCATCAGTTCAAGAAAGTAAGACCGAGTTTAAGATTTGTATTAGAAAATCAGCATGCAGATTTTGGTTTTGTTCATTATCAGTGAAGACATTATATTTTTGACATTATTGTGGATAATGATAAGAGGCTGACTTTCAATCTTTGGTATTTCAGTTTCTTTGTGAATATAATTAATTTATACTAGACTATTTGTCTAAAGGAAAAATGCTTCTTCCTCCTTATCTGTTATGTTTCCGTCTTTTTTTAGGTTACAAAAACACAGATATAAATAATTATACCTGATTTTCTGTTAATGCATTCATTCATTTATTCATTTAGTAATCCTCTGTGTCTTGTTATGATCTGAGTTTCTTGTTTTAGATGCTAAGGATTCAAAAACAATTAAGATACAGTTTGTGTTCTCAAGCACTCATAGTCTCACACACACACGTACACACATGTACACGTACACACACGTACACCTACACACACACCATTATTGTTATGATTTTGTGCTTCAGGTTATTTCCATTAAGGTTTTGCCAGTTTTACCAACTTCAGCTTAAAATGCTTTGGAAGTTGAAATGAATCTACTGTGATTTTATGATTAACTCCTAAATAGGACTTTGTATTTCATTCTTAAAATACCTAGGATCCAGATTCCCTAAAATCCAGATTTACCAGTTTCTATATTATCCCATAATAATAGCTTTTTACTCAACTGCCATATTTATCTACTTTAACCTATTTTCTTATGTCGAGATCAAAGATCTTCTTTCTGATTTTGATGTGTAATTTTGTTTCTTGTTTTCTTTATGCCGTTCTCATTTCACTTTCAATACTTCGTGCTTTTAGCATTTAATTGTTCTTTCAACATATATTTGAAAAGAAAAAATCCTGTCATCTCAATCTCCCTTTCTCCCTTCACACTTGTTAATATTTGAATTAAATTCCCCATTAGGTAGAACATTGTGTGTCTGAATGTTCTGGACAGATGGCTATGCCTGTGGCTTTATAATCTGGTGGTGGTCTAGTCTTTGATTGTCCCAAACTCTTAGTTTCAAAACCTCTGAATAGGTTTCAGTTTTTCTTAGGTTTTAATAATCTTAATAATCATGAGAGAGTTTGACCTTCTCTTATTGATAAGCAGCTAACATTTGTTAAGTAGTAGGTATTATGCTTAGCACTTTACCTGGGTCATCTCAATCTTTGTAATTACCTAGTGAATTTCTTTTTTCATTTTTATTTTTATTATTCTCAACTTACAGATGAGGAAACCAAGGCTTAAGGTTAAGTAAATTGCTGTTATGGACTAAATTGTGTCCCTTCAAAATTTATGTGTTGCAGCCCTAACCAGTAAGGCAACTGTATTTGGAGACAGAGCCTTTTAAGAGGTAATTAAGATTAAATGAGGTCATAAAGGTGGGGTCCTAATTCAGTATGACTGGTGTCCTCATAAGAAGAGACACCAGGGATGCCTGTCCACAGAGAAGACACCACAGGAGGACACAGCGAGAAGGCAGCCATTTGCAAGCTAAGGTGAGGGGCCTCAGGAGAAACCAGACCTGCTTACACCTTGATCTCAGACTTCTAGCCTCCAGAAGTGTGGGAAAATAAATTTGTGTTGTTTCAGCCACCTAGTCTGTGGTATTTTGTTATGGCAGCCCTAACAGAATTGCCTAAGGTCATGTAACTAGTTAGTGATGGCATTGGATTATGGGCCTAATCATCGTGGCTCCAGAGCCTGTACCCTGAACCATTTTGCTTTTCTGCCTTCCATACAGCATCGGGCAGTTCTCAAGGTCTGGGATTCACTGGCACGTGGATAATGTGAGCCATAGGAATGGATGTGCTACCGCAAAACACTTACACTCTGTACTTCTCCAGAGTGTAAGCTCCATGATGGCTGATTGCTTGGGGGTTTTGTTCACCATTATTATTCTAGTGTCTAAAGCAGTGTTTGGTAATGTAGAATAAATCAATGCTTAATAAATATTTGTTGAATAAATGAAACAAAAAGAAAATAAGAGAATGAAGGATGTCAGAAACACAGATAGGAGGGCCTCAGACCAAACCCTAAAGAACATACACATTTAATGGCTAGGCACAGTAAGAAGAGCCCACCAAAGGATGCCCCGATGTCATGATGCCCCGAGTTTGGATTTGATATACTAGCTAACTGGGAACCATAGTAGAATTTCAACACAAACACACACGCACACGCACACG